GGTACAGGCTGTAGTGTAAGCAGCTCTGCCACTTGGGCTATATGGCCCAGCAGACTCTACGGTATTAGAGGTAGTGGTAGTGGCTCTCAGGATTTCACTTGGAGTTTGTGTCAAGTTTATCGACCTTAGAGTTTTAGAGAAAAACCATGACATCTGCAGCAAAGAATTACATACCATCCCATATATATATATATATATATACACACACACACACACACACACACACACACACACACACACACACACACTTCTGGTGTGCTGCAGACCTCTGGCAGGAATGAAGCTCCTGAACATGAGATACAAAGTGAGCCTATGACCAGGACTGGTTATTGTGAACTGGATTGTCAGACCCACCTAGCTATAAGGTGGAGCAGATCCAGGAGCAATCCAATGTATAATTGAAGTGGCACTTTCAGGCATTATCAGGGACAGAGGTACAAGTAGACTGCATAAGTGTGACCCAGACCCCCACTTATTAAAACTGTTGCACTGACACATCTCCCTCTGTTTATACACATGGGCCCATGGGAAGGTTTTTATAACCAGGGACAGAGGAGGAAAAGGCTGAGCTTGGTTCATGGATGTACTCACTCATCAGGTCACTGTGAGTCAAAAATGGATTGCCACTTAACTACAGCTCCATGTAGAGGTGTCTTTGTAATACAGAAATTCTCCCAATTAGTGGAATGTTGAACATTGCACTAGGTTTGAATGGAAAGAGAAGTGACCTGAAGTAAGAGTGTGTGTATATATGGACTCACGCACGGTGGCAAATGTCTGAGTTAGGGATCTGGAGGGAGCAAAATGGGAAGATCAGAGTCAAAGGGGTTGAAGGAAGAGGCATGTTGCTATAAATAAATAAATATGAAGTTTGAAGGTCTTTGTGCATCATGTGAATGCTCATGAGAGAGCATCCACTATGAACAGGTTACTAAACAACCAAATACATAGAGGGGTTATCCCTGATGGTTGAAATCACCCAGTGTCTGCCATCAGCTGCGAAAGTGCTGGCACACTAATGGAGGAACCACATGGCAGAGACTGAGGCTATGTATGGGCCCAACAGGACTGAGGCTATGCATGGGCTCTCACTGACCAAGGCTGATCTTGCTACTGCCACCGCCAAATGTCAACTTGCAGCAACAAAGACCGATACTGAGCCCCCAGTGTGGCACCATCCCTTGAGGAGACCAATCATCTGCCATAGGCAAGTTGATTACCTTTGACCTCTTCTCCCCAGAAGGATCAGTGGTTTGTCCTGACTGGACATGACACATATCTGGGTAGTAGTTTGTCGTTCCTCCTCTCAAGGTCTCAGCCAATATCAGGATCTGAGGCTTACGAGTGCTTGATCCATTGACGTGGACTCTATATACTACCACCTCTAAACAAGGCTCCACTTTATAGCAAAGAAGTGTGGGAATGGATCCGTGACCATGGGATTCACTGGTCCTATCAAAACTGGACCTTTCAGAAGTTTCCACCAGGAAGTCATACAAGGGTTTTTTGAAAGCACAATTGAGGCACCAGCTTGGTGATGACTCCCTGAGAAGATGGGGCATTATCCTCTAGATCACAGTAGAAACCCCAAATTAATGGCCATTATGTATTGCTCTGTCTCTAGTAAGTGGAACCCATGGATTTGAGAACCAAAGACTGGAAGCAGAGGTGGTCCTACTTGCCATGGCCCTCAGTGGCCCTACTGGGGAATTTGTGCTTCCTGCCCCATGACTCTGGTCTCTGTGGGGATAGAGGTTCTTGTTCTGAGAATGAGATGAATGTTTCCACTAGGTGACACAGCATGCGGTCCAGGCCCATCCAACTCTAAAGCTGAAACTTAGTCACTTTGAGCTCCTCAAGCTGAGAGACAAGCAGCAAAGCAAAGGAGACCATTCTGGCAGGGATGTTGACCCGGATCATCAGGTGGAGGTCATGCTGATGTCAATATGAAGGCAGAAAATAATATGTTTGGTGTCCAGGTGTTTTATGTTTCTTGGTACTTCCTTTCCCAATTTTTGATAGTAAGTAAACAACTACAGCATTCTAATTTGGTTAGGGTATTGGACCTCTCAGGGACAAGGGTCTGGGTCACTGACCAGGTAAGTCACCTAGACCAGCAGAAGTGCTCATCCAAGGATAAGGGGAATCTAGAATGGGTAGAGAAGGGAGATAATGAGTATCAGGTGTGAGCAAACAGACCAAGTGGAATCTTGGAGAAGCTGTTCCTAGAACTTATTATGTAAAGAGAGTAAATCTGAATGGTGCAAGAAATGGTCTTTGTGGTCCTGTGGTATATGGCTCAGATTTCCCTTTCAAGATGAAGGCATGCATTCTCTACTGCTGGAAGTTTTGGAGGCTAATGTATATCAGCTAAATCCCTTTCCAGGAATCACCCTCAGCCAAAGAGAGGCACCTTACCCTATATCACATACCACCTGGAAAATGAGGGTTGCAGTCTGCATTCAGTGACATGTTAATAGGGATATAGCAGCCCCAATCTTACTGTCTTTATTCTTCTACAGATGCTGATCCCTAGGTCACTCCCTGATCAACTTCCTGCATGCATATCTCTGTCTTATAGCCTACTAGCCAGGGAACTAGACCCAAGACAGTCTCATCCATTATTCAGTTCTGTGAAATCCATTTTGTAAGCCAGGGAGTGGGAGTCACATTATCAGGGAAGACTTGAGAACTGCCCCCCATGACATTTTTCCTACACCCTTGTGAATGGCCCCTTCTGTTGTCTTCTTATGGGCCCACAAGAAGTCACAAGACTACACTCACAAGCCTAGAAAATGCAGACATTCCTAAAAATCTTGGCACCAAGAGTATCTCTTGGCTTCTTTCCCTCAGGTCTAATATTAGTTGAATAGAATAATAGAAAAATCTGTAAATCTAACATAATGGCTGGGGAAAAGTGAAAGGCAAATTTTCTAAGTGCAAAAAATGAATGTATATTAGTATTATTATTCAGAAGCTCTGGCAAAAATTAGCAAATTCTGAAATCCATGGTGGTAGTAGAGAAGAATTGGTGACCACATCAATGCTTTGATTCATTGTAGGCCAGATTCCTTCTCCAACATAGTTCTGATGCAAGATACCCAGTATCTTGAAACATTCTAATTTGAGCTTCATAGCTCAGATAACGATTTTGGTTTTTTTAAGCCAGCATTTCCTCTGTGAGGAAGCAGGGGATTCTTCTATGAATTAAATTAAATTAAATTAAACTTTTATAAAATTGGCAAACATGTAGGAGAATAAAACTGGATCCTCATCTCTCACCTTATACAAAAACCAACTCAAGATGGATCAAGGACTTAAATCTAAGACCTGAAACTATAAAAACTTCAGAAGATAACATCAGAAAAACCTTTTTAGACATTGGCTTAGGTGAAGACTTCATGATCAAGAACCCAAAAGCAAATGCAACAAAAATGAAGATAAATAGGTGGGAATTAAACTAAAGAGCTTCTGCACAGCAAAAAGAACAGTCAGCAAACTAAACAGACAACTCACAGAGTGGGATACAGTCTTCAAAATCTATACATCTGACCAATAACTAATATCCAGAATCTACAATGAACTCAAACAAATTAGCAAGAAAAAAAAAATCTCATCAGAAAGTGGGTGAAGGACATGAATAGACAATTCTCAAAAAAAGACATACAAATGGCCAACAAACATATGAAAAAAATGCTCAACATCACTAATGATCAGGGAAATGCAAATCAAAACCACAATGCAATACAACCTCACTTCTGCAAAAATGGCCATAAACAAAAAATAAAAAAAAATAGATGTTGGTGTGGATGCAGTGAAATGGGAACACTTCTACACTGCTGGTGGGAATGTAAACTGGTACAACCACTATGGAAAACAGTGTGGAGATTCCTTAAAGAACTAAAAGTAGAGCTACCATTTTATTCAGCAGTCCCACTACTGAGTATCTACCCAGAGGAAAAGAAGCCATTGCACAAAAAAAGATACTTGCACACGCATGTTTTAGCAGCAAAATTTGCAATTGCAAAAATATGGAATCAGCCCAAATGTCCATTAATCAACAAGTGGGTAGAGAAATTGTGGTGTGTGTGTGTGTGTGTGTGTATGTGTGTGTGTGTGTGTGTGTATATATATATCTGATGTCACTGGGAATTTCAACCCTTACCCTCCCCTCCTTCCCTCCCCCTATTTGGAATCTCCAGTGTTTATTGTTCCTGTCTTTGTGTCCCTGTGTACCCAATGTTTAGATCTTACTTATAAGTGAGAACAAATGGTATTTGCTTTTCTGTTTCCGCATTAATTCGCTTAGGTTAATAGCCTTCAGCTGCTTCCATGTTGCTGCAAAGGACATTATTTCAATCTTCTTACGGCTGTATAGTATTCCATAGTGTATATGTACTGCATTTTCTTTATCCAGTTCATCTTTGATGGGCCCCTGGGTTGATTCCATGTCTTTGATATTGCGAATAGTGCAGTGAGAAACATACAAATGCAGGTGTCTGTTTGGTAGAAAGATTTATTTTCCTTTGGATATGTACCCGGTAATGGGGTTTCTGGATTGAATGGTAATTGTATTTTTAGTTCTTTGAGAAATAGCCAAACTGGGAGCAGGATTTCTGACACAGATAAGCTCACTTAGAAGATGTATATACTTGAACTCTGCCAGACCCTACACCAAGCACAGAGATACCAAGGTGAACTGTGGCCTTGCTCTGGAAAGAATACTGCCAAGAGCTAGGATTGCCCATCTCTGTGTCCTGAGAGGCTTAGGGACCTTTCTGTTCACAAGATATGGAAAGTACTTTCCACAATGACTCTTGGTGAATCTTTAAAGTTGTAAAGAGCTGAATAAACCCATCAATCTTCCAGCACAATAGTCACTTTAGGACATACCTTTCAGATTGGCCCTTGGATTATGTTGGTCTAGCCTGGGAAAGCAGAGGACCTTATGACAGTAGAGGTACAACACTCAAAGCTCTTCCTCTCCCTGTATGATCCAGGACCTTGGATATGAAGAGTCAGCCTGCCTTCCCAGCACGCAAGTTATTGGGTCCTGTGTGGTGCTCTCAGATCCGTTGTGGTGTAATCAGGCAGGCAAGTACTCATGTCTTTATTTCATTTATGTTTTGATTTAAAATTTTAATAAGAAAGAAAAAATACTATCTTATGTAACTGAAAAGTCTGGAGCATCAGCCTGCAGCCAAGACTGGATCCAGGTATCCAAGTGATGTCACTGGGAATTTGCCTCTATCTTTCTCTTGGCTCTGCTTGGCTCTGTGCTGCCTTTGTTCCCAGGCTTTACCCACATGGGGCGAAGATGCTCCCCAGCAGTCCCTGGCTTACATGGTCCATGTGTCTCCAGCTTCCCACTGTCTCCTGTTGCCTCATACACCTTCCTAATTCCTAGTCTTTGGCTCCTTTCGAATAACTATTTATTTCTCATGTCAGATCTCATCATTTATTTTGACCTCATGCTGTAACCCCAATGTCTTTCAGGCTAAGTCAGAGAGGTCTCTGGTTTTCTGTTTAATTTGGTCCACATGTTTTAAGTTGGATAAATGGAATATTAACGATTGTAATTCCTTCTTGCAGGGGAAATTCCACTTTGTTCTCTAACTATGTTTGCTCAATACAGGGTGAAATCCAAATCCTCATATGGCACTATTTGAAGTGAGAATGGAAGGCAGATGGGTGGATTTGAAGATTTGAAAGGGTAGATGGTCTGATACAGGTGCTGCCCTGGTCTTTGCTCTTGCAGTGGTGTGCCCTTTCCTATGCAAAGCCATCATTGTCTGCTGACTGGCAGAGCAGTGGGTCATATTGTGCAGCGATTGGTGTTTGTTTAAGAGAAATCTCCCCGACTGACCCAATTCCTGTAATGCATAAAAAAATGACAGAAGTAATACTTTTGTTCTTGTTTCACTTTCATTCATCTTATTTGATCAGGGCTGAGCAAAACTGACATCTCATCAAACTCCAAAGTGTGTTTCAGCGCCAGGTTCATTGGAGGGTGGCATTTAAAACACAGACATTGCAGGAACAAATGTATTTGCCAATCCCGTCCAGCAATGTAAACCTGACCTTTCTCCTGTAGATTTATTGACACGGCCTGTTTTGTATCATATTTCATTATTGTGCATGGAAGGATTTAAAGTTCTTCTCTTGGAAAACAACTCAGTTGGGGCCAGGGTGGCCGATATGCCTTCCCTTCATAGAGAGAAAAGAGGAATTCGTTAATCCTGGCAGGATTAGCACAATTCCTCAAAGAGTGTCTTTAATTAAAAAATACCTGCTACCAGCAGTATAGGCCAGGAAGAAATTGCCATTTGGCATGTGGCAGGAGCAGAGGAATTACATCCAAGGTGATTGTCATTTACTTGTTGTGAGGTACATTACAGGTTCCTTCCATCTGGGAGCCCTGGGAAGTGCCCCGCTCCTGCTCATTGCAGAAATCCATCTCTGAGAAATGCTCACTCAGTCTGAGCTATGACACACTCTATGTTAGAAGTCTATCACCTCACCCAGCCAAACAGCTGTAGAAATTATCCATTTATGCATTCGTGAGACAAAATATCTATGCGCCTAGAGACTCCCCAGGTACTGTGGATATCATAGTGAACAAGAGAAACAATATCACTGTTTCCAGGGAGCTTCAATCTTGTGATGGTTGATAGTCTGTAAGTTAATAATTAAACAATTTAAATACGACAATTTCAGAAAGTGAGGAGCATTGGTTATTGTGTCTAACAGGGAAAGATAATAGAGAATGGCTGTGGGGTGGTGGAGGTGATGTGTGCACTGACTTCTGAGGTTGCCGGTAGGTATCGAGCTGAGATCTGATTAGGGAGATGGAGCTAGCCATGTAGAAGCTAGACCAGTGACTGTTTCAGGTAGAGCATACCACAAGTGCAAAGGTCCTGAGGTGGAAATATGTTTGGCATTTTTGAGAAACAGAGGGAAAGCTAGTTAGCATAGTAGAAGCTTCAAGAATGAGTAGAGGCAAGCTGTGGAATGAACCCACGAGGTGAACAGGGACAGACCAGATACACCTGCCTTGGGAAATCTAAACTCTGCAATGGGAACTGTGAAGGTTGTTAAGCTGAAGAACCATAGAGGCTCATTTACGCTTGCAAATGGTTACTCTGGCTGCAGGGTGGGAATTGAATTGTAGGGGAACGAGTCGGTAATAGCAGAAACCAACTGTATGGCTTTTGGAGCCAGTTCTAGCAAGCGATGATAGTGCCTTGACCCCCATCTGATCTATTGAGCCAAAATTTATGTCTGTAGAAATCAGTTCTTCCCTCCCTGCCTCTGTCACCATCCATGAAGACAGAGTGAATCTAGCCTTTCCCAACACTTGGTGACAGTGTTTATGATTCCCCATTATCTCCTCTTCTTTGGGCAGAGCAGTTCCATTTCTTCTAACTCTTCTCCACATGACAAAATTTTAAATCTCCCTCATCACCCTTACTACCCGTTCCTGGCTCTGTTCTAGTTGATCCATGTCTCATTAAACATAGAACCCAGCATGCAGCCGCACACCATGGATGGGTGTTGCCATTTTGCTGCCAGTCTCTGCCCCAGGGAAGGTTTCCTTCATCCCACTATTAGCTCATGCGCATCAGGTAGAGTGGGCTCCATTCTTGGCTGAGAAACAGAATGCAAGACTTGAGTCTAAGCCAGTCAATGCCTTCCATCCCCCACTGTGACTGATCCAATCTGAACCAATGAGAGGGAAAGGGTATCTAGCTGGGAATGCTGGGTTCAGATTGTCATCCTCTGTCACTGAATTTAACTTGAAATATGGAGTCTTAGGAGTTTCAAGCTCTTAAGGATTGTGGAAAGAGAGCTTGTTCAAGAATAGACAACCATTCCAGTAAGTAGAGCTGAGAAATGAAGAAAGAGAGAATGAAGGCATGTCATTTGTACATTGGAATTCAGCAAAATCTAAAGTCCAGTTCTGAATAATTCAATGAATCAATACATTTTCTCTTTTTCTGCTTAAGCCAGTGGGTCAGGTTTTCTGACACTTTCTATCAAAAGAATTCTAGCTGACAGGCCAATCAGAGAACAGTGGGGCTATCGCCTCCCTTGAATAGATCACGATACCCCAATCGATGCAGCTGCAAGTCCTCACTGTTGTCAGCAGCTGTGTTGTCTTGTCAGTGCCTATTGTTTGAGCTGATAGCCAATGAGAGCTCACACTTTCCTGTTCAGCAGTTTCCTTCTCAATTTCTCTCTGAGACATCCTCTGAGGGTTTATGTAAAGCCCTTTTATGAATTTAGTATTTATTAGGTCTCCCTCTTGCACTTGACACGTATCCATTTTTGTCTGAGTTGCAAACTCCTGAGAACCCAATACTATGATCCATTTGGGGGTAAACAGCAAAGAGAACCAATAAAACCTAACAAAGCTAAGTCTAATCATTGCCAAAAACACCCATTTGGCTCCCTAATGGGCCAAAGGGGAGGGGGCCGTGATATCTCAGTGCTTTTGCCTTTCACAATCGTTCCTGATGCCTAGAAAGCCTTCCATTAAGCTACACAGCACAGCCATTTTTTAGGGGCCACTGAGACTCATGTCTGTGCTGTAGCTTTTGCAGTTTAAGTGGCTGAAGTCAGAGAGCAGCTCAGAAATGGGCCAACTGCCCTGAGGACAATGGAGCCTGCAAGTCCAGCTCTCAGCCCTGCTGACAAAGTGAGGCATCATGGAAGAAAAAAGGAAACATCTACCTTTTGACCTTAGATAGGGCTTAGGATATAGACAGGGATGGTGCTAGCAGCTGGCAAGCTGGCTTACAGTACCCTAAGATGAAGGGCCAGAAGGGCCTTTTAGGGGCTGCTAGTCCTGTTAGGGAAACTGAGGCCTAAAGAGGGCCAGACATTTTCCCCGGGGCACTCAGCAAAGTTAGTTCCTGAATGACTCTGGGCAGAGTCAAGGTCTTCTGTTACTTCAGCCACTGTTCTTCCCAATGGACAGGGCAGGGTAGCGGAGTGGCTAACAGCAGCAGAAATGGCTACTTGTTATATAGAACATTGGATCCTCTCTCTGGCTTCCTGGGACAGGTGAGTTGGGCCATTCTGTGGATGAGGAGGCTCCACATTCACATAAGGGACCCTGGAGACAAAAGCCCTAGAGATGAGATGGGGAGGGGCGAGTGGCTTCTGGCTCAGGAGATAAACATTCTAAACCTGACCCGATCAGTCACTGGGCAGTGCAGAGCAAATCACATCCATTTCGAGCCTCACTTTATTCATCTGCAAAATTGCATAAATAATAGCTAGCTCTTACATGTCAGATGCTGCCTTATTGCTTTATATTATAAACTTCATGAATCCTGATAATAATTTTGTGAGGTATTTGCTGTTATCTCCAATCTAAAGATGAGGAAAGTGAAGCGCAGGCAAATTAAGTAATTGGGTCAAAATGATTCAAATCAAACCCAAGCAGTCTGGCTCCAGAATCCACTCTTAACCTCTATGGTAACTGCCAAATAATAATAATTAATAGTAAAATAAGATTGGTAAATAATAAAATATAAATAATAACAATAAAGCAATGCATCTCCCACAAGCTTCTTTTGACGAGTCAATGAAAAGACCTGAGTGTATTATTATGGCTTTTACTTTCTGTATTCCGATGCTTTGACATCTGAGGCTGACCCTGAGACTACCCCTCCCAGGGTTAGCCGATTCCTAGAGACTGCAAGCAGTTCACCTGAAGGTGTGCTCTTTATATACAAACCAACCAACCCAGAATCCACACCTGCAATCACCTCCTTTATGGGGCTCTCACACTCCGGGTCAGTATCCTTCTGCCTTAATCATCCCACAGTCCTGTGCTCCAGAGCCTGCTGAAATTATTTAAACTAGCCAATCCTAAACCTGCCCACCCTGTTTTGCCACTTCCTTCCAGTGGAAACCACAATCAAGGCTGTTGCTGCCATTCCTTACTGCCTCTGCCTCTTGACCCACCCTGGTGTCTCCCTGTGTGGCCCCTGTGCTATGGCATGCTCTCTCCTCTTGGGAACGGTGAATAACAAGCTGTCTCTTTAGTGGCAGTTGTCTCCCGATTTGCTTGCCTTGTTACCTTTTCGCACAAATAGTGCTACAAATGTAAGTTATTATCCGTTTATTTACCCTACCCACAGGGGACAGAAATGATCAAACGCTTACCAACTTTGTACTCAGTATTTTACATATACAATTTAATTTAATCGTCACTACTGCTACTATTAAAACTAGGAGGGTTTTTAAAATTTAGATTCAGGGATACACATGCAGGTTTACTACGTGGGTATATTGTGTGATGCTGAGATTTGGTCTTATATTGATTCCATCACCCAAATAGTGAGCATAGTACCCTACAGGTAGTTTTCCAACCCTTGCCTCCCTTACTCCTTCCTTTCAGAGTCCCCAGTGTCTATCATTCTCATCTTTATGTCCATGTGCACCTAAAGTTTTGTCCCTACTTGTAAGCAAAAACATGCAGTATTTGGTTTTCTATTCCTGTGTTAATTTACTTAAAATTATGACTGCTAGTTGCATTCATGTTGCTGCAAAGGATATATTCTTTTGTATGGCTGTGTAGTATTCCAAGGTGTATATGAATACTACAGTGTACATGGTGTATATGTAATGAGGATGTACTACATTTCATTATCCAGTCCACTGTTGATAGGCATGTAGGTTGATTGCATACCTTTACTATTGTGAATAGTACTGCAGTGAACATATGAGTGCAGGTGTCTTTTTGGTATCCAGTAAAGGGATTGCTGGGTCAAATGGTAGTTCTCTTTTTAGTACTTTGAGAAATCTCCAAACTGCTTTCTACAGGGTCTGAACTAATTTACATTCTCATCAACAGTGTATAAACATTCCATTTTCTCCACAACCTCAACAATATGTTATTTTTTTGACTTTTTAATAGAAGCCATTCCGACTGGTGTGAGATGGTGTCTCATGGTTTTGATTTGCATTTCTCTGATGATCAGTGATATTGAGCTTTTTTTCATATGTTTATTGGCTGTTTGTATGTCTTCTTTTGAGAAGTGTTTGTTCATGTACTTTGCCCACTGTTTAATAGAGTTATTTGTGTTTTATTTCTTGTCGAATTGTGTAAGTTCCTTGTAGATTCTGGATATTAGTTCTTGTTGGATGCATAGTTTTCAAATATTTTTCTTAAAACTAGGAGTTGTTATTCCTACTTTACAGACAGGAAAACTGAGATTCAAGAGATATAAGCAGTTTTGTTGAGTCACTAAGTTTGCAGAGGGCAGTTTCCAAGTCTGACTTTTGGTTTTTCTGATCTTAAAGCTTCTCTTCTCTGCTCCACCCAAGAGCAGAGGACATTATGAAGTTTATTCTAGAAGGAATGAGAAAACAAATAGGTTTCAATAGCAAAGTCTCTGCTCTTTTCCTGCCTGTTTTCCTCCCTTTCTGGTGTGTCTTAGGAAGATTTTCTCCCTAAAGAGTTTCTTTGCCTTATATGAATGAGCCTTTGCCTCTTCATTTATTAATTCCTTCTCCAGCTCATTCTCAAGATAGTGGGGAAAGCCTGGCTTTTAAATAACACATGCTTTAATTTCACCTTGACCTGGATCAATATTTCCACTTGTTCAAAACTGGCAACTTGTCCTCTACTGCCATCCCTAGGGCCATTTATCCTGCCTCTCGCTGCAATTCCCTTAGCTAAGACAGCTCGTTAGGCTCAGCTCATACTCCCAGGCCAGCGACTGGCAATTAGTGTGGCATTCTCACATTCCATCTCCCCATGATATGTAACTCCAGCATGATAGACAATTCCTTTGGCGTGATCAAATATCCAAAGAGTAGGCATTCAGATGGAGGAAGGCAGTCTTGTTTCTGTTTTCCTGCAAGGTGGGTCTCAGACAATGCAGATAGTATCAAGGAGGCAGGTACTGACTCAGTATGAGAAAGAGCTAGCTAAGAGTTAAGCTGGGAATTTTGAAGTTGGATTCTGTATTTACTATATTATGTATTTATATTATGTAATGCTATTTTATGTATTTATCAAAGTTTCCATGAGAAAAGTTCAACCTCTTGTATAGTCCTTTTACTCTATGTTCAAAGAATAGAAAACATAGATTCTTAGTTTCCTGGAATTGCAGGGTTAAGGATTATCATAGAAATCCAACTTCCTGCCCACCCCCCAGCCCCCACTGACATGACTCAAGAGTTGGTGTTCTGCTGGAGCAGTCCCTGTGATGAGGAACTCCCACCTCCCAGCCTTTTCTGAAAGGCAGGTCCATTTCCACTCTTTTGTTACACTTCCCGAGTGGGGTGGCTTTGGGGTAATGCGTGAACTGTGTCTTTAGAGCCCTCTGTCTGGTCTCACATTTGATGAGAACCCTTAGGAGTTAACACACTTGAGGAGGCAGCCTGTGCTACCACTTAGCAGAAGTGGGATGAAGGCTTATCCTGGAGTAGGGCAAGAAAGGGCTATTATTTAGAGGTGCCCAAATAATCTCCACCTGTACAGTAGAAGCATAGTATGTAGCACACAGAAGGTGACTGTCATGGACATTGGTGTTTTTGCCTGCTCTCTATCCTCTCTGTGGTCTTAGCAGCTGTCTCTTGCTCTTGGGAACCACTTTCAATGCTGTGATTTTAGTAGGGTTTATGCCACCCCTGACCCCCGAACCCCCAGTACGAGCACTGACAAATTGGACTATTGCAGTTTCTTTGGGTGGGCACAGGAATGATTCAAGTCAATGAAGATCAGCCCTGGGATTTCGAAATAAATAATTGGGAAAGAGGTGCCCTTTCCTTTGGGGAAGTCCAGCTGGTAGGAAATGGGCATGGGGTTGCTGGTGGCCCTATTTGTACCACATGGGCATAGCTTGCCTGAGAACAAAGCCAGTGAAGAGGAAGAGCAGAGAGGAGATGGAAGACAATCCTCTAGTTGGCCTAGTTTAGACACCCAGATCTAGTCGAGCCTCAAATTAGATGCTCTGCATGACTCTCAGTTGTGTGAGCCATCACTGTCTCTTTTAGTCATGAGCCAGTTTGAATTGGATTTTGTCTGTTGGACCCAAAATAGTCTGTACTAATTCACTGCAAGCCCCCCTCTGAGCTGCACAAGGTAGACCCTCTGCTGTAGCCACACTGGCCCTGGTTTTCCTTTGTTAGTTGTCCCAGTCTTGTCTCTTGAAGCTACCTTTATTAGGAATGTTCTCCTCCACTCCTATGTTGCCTGGGTAACTTCTATTCACTCTTTGGACCTCAGCTCAGACATCATGTCCACCAGACCAAGGCAGGCAGGCCCTTCTGTGACACATTCTACACACCCTTGAGCTTTATTTACTTCAGAGCATGTAGCCGTTTGTAATAATGTATTTATTTTGGTAATGTTCTAGTTGTCCTCTTTCCCCACTAGATTGGCAGTCCCACGAGGGAAGAGATTCTGTTTTGTTCCTCAGCAGATCCCCAATACCTAGCATAGTGCTGGACACACAGTGGTGGCTCACTAAGTCTTTGATGAATAACTGTATATGGGAAATAAGTATTGTACCTCTCTGTGGATTCCCCACAGTAATGAGAGGCATGAGACACATTGGAGTGGGGCCAGGGGAGACAAGACAGTGGTGCCTCATCTTGGGGGAGTGGGACTGCTGCCATCAAATACCCAAGTGGTGGGCCTTTGGATGGAGGGAGGCAGTCTCTCTGTGTGTGAATTTATGGGCTACATGTGCAATTTTGTTACATGCATAGATTGTGTAGTGGTGAAGTTAGGGCTTTTAGGTATCCATCACCCGAATAGCCTACATTGTACCCATTCAGTGATTTCTCATCCTCTAACTCCCTCCTACCCACTTACCCTTTCAAGTCTTCACTGTCTAACATTTTATTCTCTACTTCCATGTGTACACATTATTTAGCTCCCACCTGTAAGTGAGAACACGCAATATTTATCTTTCTGTGTCTGACTGTTTCATTTAATAATAGTCTCCAGTTCCATCCATGTCACTGCAAAATAAATGATTTTATTCTTTTTATGGCTGAATAGTATTCCATGGTATATGTATACCACATTTTAAATCCAATCATTTGTTGATGGACACTTAGGTTGATTTCGTATCTTTGCTATTGTAAATAGTACTGAGATAAATATATGAGTGCAGTTACCTTTTTTATACAATAATTTCTTTTTCCTTAGATATCCATAGTGGGATTGCCAAATCCAATAGTAGTTTTTTGTTGCTGCTTTTTTTTTTTTAAGTTCTTTGAGAAATCTCCATACTGTTTTCCATAGAGATTGAACTAATTTGCATTTCCACCAGCAGTGTATGTGTGTTCCCTCTTCTCCACATGTTTGCCAACATCTGATATTTTTTGTCTTTTTAATAATAGCTGTTCTGACTGGTGTAAATCTCATTTCTCTTTGCTGCAGGGATGGCCTCTGACAATGCGGAGAGCATGAAGAAGGCAGGAAGTGTCTCAGAAGGAGAACAGACTTAGAGCCAAGCTGTGAATTTTGAAAGTGGATTCTGTAATATTTTATGTATTTATTAAAGTTTCCACAAGGAAAGTTTGACTAGTTGTTTGGTGCTTTTGCTTTTTGTGCAAATCCTAGAATCACAAATGTAGATTCTTAGTTTCATAGAATTGCAGGATTAAGGATTGTCACAGAGACCCACCTTTCTGCCCTCTTCCTCCATATGCCATGACTCAAGAGGCAATGTTCTGCTGGAGCCATCCCCGTGATGACGAACTCCCACCTGCCAGCCTTGTCTAAAGTACGGATTTCATTCCACCCTTGCCTTATGCTTCTTGAGTGGTCGCCTTTTCAGTAATGTTTGAACTCTGTGTCTTCAGAGCCCTGTGGCTGGTCTCTGCATGGTCAACGAGCCACAGGGTTATAGCTTATATTGCTCTGAAATAGGATTTTTGATGAGAGATGTTGTTGCTAATAAAGATGGACCTGCTGGCAAAACCAGCTAATATCTTGGCTTCCACCGGGCCCTCACTACCTCCACACAGATGACTCCGATGAGATAAATTACTTTTCCACCAATAGAAACATGACCGCAATCAATATAGCTGGTAAATAACACGATTCTCAGAAGAAAAGAAAATACCAATTTTAAATACATTTATATCGACATGAAGCCAGGTTGGTCAAGGTGTGTGTGAGTGCAGGCACCCATGCCTGTGGCCCTTGGGAAAGGTACTCGAGCTGAGCATTGGCCAATGCCCTGATGTGGCTGAGGACTCACCCTCTCCTCCGCCCTAGACGTAGGCCCTGGGGAAGCAGAGTAAGGATCACGCCAAGAGGAATTTTGTTCTTCTAGAAAAATGTGCTTTGGGCTCTCAGATCTCTTTTTTGGTGGAGGTCTGAGTCCTCTGCTCTTCCTTCCTTGGGCTGTGGAGTCTTTCTCCAAACATTTGGCCCCTCTAGGTTTCATTTGTGTCATTTGCTAAGCAGCAATAATTTTCCCCATGGAAGCACCCTCTGAGTACGGATCTGCTGACACATTGGAACAGCTCTGGAAATCATCATGTACTTGACACACGCAGTGTGGTCCTTCCATCTTACTTGTCCCCTTGCCTCCTTCATTCTCATTTTATAACACTGCTGGGGCAAAGGGACTCCCCAGCTTAAACTTAACATCAGTTTCTGGGGATTAAGTTTGGCCAGAGCAGAGGCTGCAGGAGGAGGGTGGTTGGAAAAACAGAGAATAAAATAATAACAACATCAGCACTATCAAATATTTATTAAATACTCATTATGGGTTGGCCCTGTGTTAAGCAAGCATTTTACATCAATTATTTAATTCTTGCAACCTTTATGCTGTATGATGATCCCTATTACAGATGATTAAACATAGGCTGGAGTGGGGATAAAAAAGTAAAAACTTTTCTTTTAGGAAGGGTAGACAAGACAGGCCTTTCTGAGGGAACTCTATGTGAGCCATGAAGTGAACCAGAAGCGGGGCATGAACCCTGCAAGCAGACGTCTGAAAGGGGCATTCCAGGCAGGGGTGAGCACACGCAAAGGCCCAGTGTCAGGACCTGCTTGGTGTGTGTGACGAACACCAAAGAGCATGTGAGGGAAAGAGCTGTAGGGGGTACATCAAAGAGGTAGGCAGGGTGAGACTTTTGGGCTCCTGAGGACTGGGGCAAGAAGTTTAACTTTTATTCTAGTGTGAATGTGGTGGCTGTGAGAATTAAATAATTAGCCCAAAGCCATTTATGAACTGTAAGACATTAAACTTACATGGTCTGTTATTTTAGTCATTCATTCATTCACTTGATTATTCATTCATTTAACACTCTCTGTTTGCTGCTCTACGTCCAGGGGTGCTTTTTCAGGGAACTCAGATTCAAAGCACTCCTAGCTGTTTCCTGGATTCCAGATGGGCTGTTAATGGACCAACCCTGTCCTTCAAAGATTTGTGAGCTAGGAACTGATCAGGTAGCAGAAGCCCAGAATAAGATAGTCCCCAGGAATTGCTCCTTCTGGTTCCTTTCCAAACTAACAAGCTATTAAAATAAAGCCTGCTCCCTGGCATGTGGAAATGTGTAATGGGCCATTGCAAGACAGCCATAACCACTCTGAAGATGTGCTTGGGTAGCTCCAGGAGGAAAGCCTCATTTCTAAGCACCCAGAAATTTCCTCTTGGTAGTTGGTGTAGCCTAGAAAGAAATCACATTATATACTCTCCCTCTACACCAAAGGGAAATGCAGAACCGTGAATTTACAAACTTGCAAAGCAGGGTCTTGAGGATTGGCGCAGCCTCACGTTGGTCTGCAGGCCCTAACTCTGGATTCATCCTATGAATATTTGCAAAGAGCAAAGCAATAAAGTGTAAAGGTGCATCGGAGACTTGAAGTCATTCACAGATGCTGGCTGTAAGGAGTTCAAGCTGGGATGGAATTCCTGGGCAGTCACCCAAACCTGGAATCTTCTTTTCTTAAAAAGTAGAGTGTAAGTTTATTATTCTTGTCCTAAGACTTCGTAATTTTGCCAATTTCATGGGTTTTGTCATTTCTCACATTTTCTTGATTACAAATAAACTTAAGCATTTTTTTAAAGGAGGAAGGATATGTATTTGTAAATGATGTTAGGCACTGATTGTAGCAACATAAAGCCGATCTTTTTTTCGCCTGACATTTTCTCTTCTTTCTGGAGATAAATGAATGGAGGTAAGATATGCTATCAAAAGTAATACCACTTAGTCAAGAACATGTCTGATATGCCTATTTTTATCTCTTTTGCGTTATACCACTTTTGTAATTCAAAGTAGTGAATATTGACTTCTGCAACAGAAACCTCTCACATCTCTGTGGCTTATAACAGTAAGGATTATTTCTCACTTGTACAAATTCCTGTGAAGCTTAGGTGTCCCCCATGTATAGTTATGCTGCAGGTGGTGACACAGGGATCCAGGCCATTCCCATCTTATAGCTATGCTGTCAGAACAAGGAACTTCCAAGGCTGTGGTGGCAGGGAAGAGAGGAGTGGAAAATTGTATTGGATGATTTTAAGGAGTTAGCTTGGAAGTGACTTGCATCATTTTTACTCACGTTCTCTGGGCTTGAATTCAGTCACCTGACACTGCCTAGCTGCAAGGGAGTCTGAGAAATGTAGAAGAGCACATGGGTAGAAGTAAGCATATGGGTAGATGATGTAAGCACATGGGTAGATGTAAACATTTGGCAGTCTCTGCCTTACACTCATGTGCTGGCACTGGTGCTTGCTGGTGAGAGAGATTTAAGGGTATGAACACACCCACCAAGGAACTCACAGCCTAATTGGGAAAAAAAAGCCTTACAGAATTATGCCATATGGCAGAGTATGACTGATGCATTATGAGAATTATAGATCAGTTGCTATAAATCTCTCCACACCTTAGATGGTGCTACAGGTAGAGAGATCAGCAATAGCAAGGTGTGCAGGCCAGAAAGCAAGAGGTGTGTCTGATAACTGTGACACACACTTTAGTTAGAGACAAGGACATATGAAGGGGACAAGTGGCAGAAAATACCTCTGAAAATGTAATTTGAGACCAGATTGGGGACAGGCTAAGGAGTTTCAGAAGCCATTGACTGTTCTTGAGAAAGTAAGGAAAAGAATATTAAGTAAAGCAACTAATTAAACAGTTCCACCAAGATAGGAAAGGTCTGCAATCACTTTGTGCCTTCCTTTCCTTACGTATAAAATGAGGTTGTTAATCTTTACTTTTTATGGCTTTTGTGAGGATTAAGTAAATAAATACATATAAAGTGTTTAGAATTATCCTTAGTATAGTAAATGGCTCACACTAATATTAGCCAAAGAATATGTAGTCTTGATGTACTTGTATCTCCAAGGGAGACAGACATAACTTGAAGGACAATCTCGACCAGGTCATTAAAGAGATGGCCCAAATTGACTGACAATCAGGAGGAGAGAAACAAAACATACAAGGTGAGGACAGAAATGATTTTCTGGAAGGTTCAGTACTTCACAAAGGCCATATTCCCCTCCATGTACTCTCTTGCTTTGAGAGAAAGAGTATAAAAGCATATTCCAGACTACGTGGGGGCCTTCCAAGGATCCAAGGAGTCTTGGGGAAAAGCACATGTTGGTTAAAAGAGTGGGTGCTGGTCTCAGATTGTCTGAGAGTGAATTCTGACTCTGTCATTTATTAGCTGTGTGACCTTGCACAGTTTATTTAAAACCCTGTTAAAGTCTCAGTCTCCACTGCTGTAAAACAAAAGTCATATTTACCCCATGGAGTTGTTAGGAGGTTCAATGAGAAAACATATGTAAGATGCTTAGCATGGTATTTAGTTTTTACTAAATGTTCACAAATGCTGGTTATATTTTATTCATTAGAACACATAATGCATCAATTAAAAACTAAATTCTGTAGCCAAATCAGGAGTTGACACAAATCCAAATATCTGGACATTTGAAACAACTTGTGGATTTTCTTCCATTTCTATTCATATGTTTAGAAATGTTTAGGTACCATCCCAGAGAAGTAAGTATATCTGGTCAGTTTCTTGCTTTTCCCAAAGGAGAAGCTTTAAACACATGTCAGACTTAGGGAGTAATTTAACCCTTACCTTAACCTAGGTTAGCAAAAATCTTATAGCTCATTTTCATATCTAATTAGGTTCCAATATGATTTTATTTTTCTATCTTTTTTTCCCAACAAAATCCTGGGTCCCGTACCTTTGAAGGAAATCGAGCTAGCTCTGTCCATTTGGAAGGAACTTTGTCAAGCATTCAAAGGAAGGGCTGTGTGTGTTGATGGTGCTTCCTCTACCTCTCCAAAGCCACCCAGCCTCCAGGGCCTGAGCAGGGCTGGCTTCTGTACTCAGGCACAGACAATGGCCCTTTCCTGACCCTGTGCCTGCCCCAGTGCAGCTCTCCTAACTCTAGTGCCTCTCCTAAGATATAAATTATAGTCCAGGACTTTATCTGCCTGGTCAAAACCCAAGGGGCCAGGTAGCTTAAAAGGCCACCATTGGCTGGGCGTGCTGGC